GTCCCTGTGCTTTGCCAAGCTTGTTCCAAGTAGGTGCTTTAGACCACTGAGCCATCTCGCCAGCCCTAAGCTTGTTCTAAGTAGGTGCTTCAGACCACTGAGCCATCTCACCAGCCCCTCAAATACATCTTGAGCCCCTGTATCCTTTCAAAATTTCTAAGCCTAAAGACGTGACTCTGGGATTACAGCTACACTCACTGATAAGCCAGCCAGAGGCCGGCCCTCTTGTTCACTGGCTGTCATGCTCCCAGCAGGTCCCGTCTGGGTCTGAGGCCACCACAGCGGGGCGTGGATTCACCCTACCTAATGAGGAACTTCATGGCACTTAAGAAACAAATGCCACAGGGATCTGTCTGTACTTAAATCATATTTTATTTTATATCAGAGAAAAAAATAACCACACTTCCCAGTCTTATTTCCAAACCATCTCTGCATCAACATCTATAAATATTTCACAAGTACTGTAATTGGCGAGCATACCTCAAAACCATCCTTTGTATTAAAATTCAGAACAGTGTATGTCCCCGATGTGTTCTAGGTAGTACCTATTTGTTTAGTGAATTCAAACAAGAACTCCACTGGGTATTTTCATAGTGTCTCGACTTGGAATGCCAACCTCAGGAGAGGCAGTGGCCCTCTGTGGTCACTCGTGACCCAGCTGCGACCCTGCTACTCACAGAGCTCAGCCAGCCACTCATTCACATCCTCCATCGTCGCATTCACTCGCGTCTCGTCGTTGGGGAGAGTGATCCGACATCGAGGGTGGAATATGTACGTGGGGTCCACTGTTTCTAACTTGATCTTTGTACTGAGCTGCTGCAGTACCCAGAGGAAGTTAAGCATAAATCCATCTGTAGATACCAATCGATCGTCTGTCTGTGAAGCATAAAAAATATCCAAAATAATGATTTGAGTAGAAGTTTTCACACAATATGAAAGCAGAGTAACATTCAAACATGGCCATTTCCTGAAGTCAATGCGCAGGCACAGACTGTCACCACTGTCTCCTGCCAGCAGGTGCTAACAGTGAGCATCTGTCCATGGTGAAGGATGTCATACATTCACTCGAATGTTCAGAAGGAGCCTGAGGGTCAGCAGTATGCTATATGCTTCTGCAGAGGAGGGCCAGCAGGGTCAGAGAGCGCATGCGATTTGCCTAAAGCCTCCACAGTAGCAAGCAGAAACACAAGAAGTGTTGCTTCCTTTCTTTTTTATTTCCCTGCAAAAAAACCATGAGAACAAGAGCTGGGGATGAGCTCAGTGGGAAAGTGTTTCCCCAGGATGTGCAAGGCCCTGAATTTCACTCCCAATGTTGCAAAAAAAATAAACAAAATATCAGAACAAGCAATCCTGTTACCAAATGACAGCACCGCAAGCACAGTGGCAGCACAGCCTTGCATTAATGACCTAACATGGCAGAACGGCAGTCAGAACCTGGTGAGGAAGCATTCAGCACTAACCCAACATCTTCACTTACAACAAATCCATACGTTACGTGTCACTATTATCTCCATGTAACAGATGGGGAAACTGAGGCACATTGCTCTAAGGTGTCACCCTTTTTTTTTAGCTGAACTGGGGTTTGAACTCAGACCCTTGCACTTGCCAGGGACGCGCTTATCGTACTGAACCATCTCCCCAGCCCAAGGTGTCACTTTCTGTAAGTGGTAGAACCATAAGAAATCACTGTATCTATGTACTTCCCTATATAGTACCATTTTTTGTTCTAAGTGTCATATAATTATTTATGCATAATCTAGGAAGGATATCCTTTTTTTTTTTTTTGCGACATGGTCTCATGTAGTTTAGGCTGGCTTTGAACTCACAGTGGAGCCCAGACTGACCTCAAACTTGTGGCGATCCTCCTGCCTCAGCCTTCTGAGTGCTGGGAAGGTGCGTGTCATGGCTTATACACAGACCTGCATGTTGGGGTTTACACTGAAGCTGGTTCATTTCCACCTTGGAACCTTGCACACATTCATAAGACTCTCCCCTCAGGCTCACAGGGCTGGCTCTTTTATCAATGAGAGCTCTGATCAAATGACACCTCCAAGAGACTTTCCTGCCCCAAGATCAAAAATCACCCATGTCCCTTCTGGCCCTGTTCATTACCTGCTGCAAGTCCTTCATTCTGCTTTATTTTCTACTTCATTTGCATCTACTCATTGATGCTGAGAATGCTCAGCTTGGTCAAGACTGCGTTCCTGCAACCCACAGCAGCATCTGGGGAAGTGGAGGAGAAAGCAGGCCCTGGGAACCCTACCTGCATCTGTGCCTTCTTCATGTTGGCATTGACGACAGCTGCCATGTAGCTGAGGGCTGCCTCCCGGGTCTCCCCGTTTAATAAGATACTATGCAGAATCTTGAAGAGCTCTTGCTGTAGTTATTTTGAAAAGGAAGAGAACAATGAATCTCATTTTGGACAGTATTACTTTTGTCTTCCTCTACTTCCAGAACAGCTGGCCTATGCCTCGCTCTGTGCCCTCCCCTACTTCCAGTCCCTTCCGGAGAGGCTGACTGCAGGGAGGCGGAGGACCCCATGCACGTTCCGTGTCGAGGGACCTGGTAAGTAGCAGAGCACATAGGGAGTGGAAGCAGAGTGGAGTCAGGTTTTTTTTTGTTTTTGTTTTTGTTTTTGTTTTTGTTAGCAGAGATGGAACTCAGGACCTTGTACTTCCCAGGCAGGTGCTTAAGCCACTGAGCTATCTCCCCAATGGAGTCACAGTTTTAATAAAATGCCCTTCATTACTTCTTTTCCATGATCAAAGTTCTCCTGTCACCCTCGCCTGTGAGTGCTTTGCTTCTACGTTCAGAACCGTAGACACGAGAACCTCCTTTGGGCTCAGCAGGCTAGTGAGGGCATGTGCAGACTCACAGCTCCCATCATGCACTGATGCAGAGCAGCGCCCTAAGGGGCAGCTAACAAGGGAGGTGGCACTAGTTAGCTGCGGTTACTCAAGGCTTGGTGAGCAGGACCGCAGGAGATCTCCAGCACAATAAAACAAAACAAAAATTTTAAAAAGACATCTGTTCCTTACATATAGCAGGCTTCCCCCCTCTAAAGTTCAACTGACTTAATTTATTTAATAATATTTTCTGGGGGGCTTGCTTAGTTGGGCAAATGCAGTCAGGCACATGGGAACGCGGTTCAATCCCCAGTCCCACAAGCCACACCATACCCGCCCTTAAGGCAGCCAGAAATAGCCAAAAAAAGAATTAAAGAAAAAAAAAATCCTTCTTCAATTTTGGGCCAGGGAGATAGCTCAGTAGAATAAGCACTTGCCTGGCAAGCGCAAGATCCTAGGTCCTGAGCTCAATCCCCGATACTGCAAAAAATAAATAAAATAAAATTATGTTTTCTTTTCTTTTGGAGACAGTCTCACTGTGCAGTTCAAACTGGCCTTCAACTCACGACTATCCTCCTGCTTCAGCCTCCTGAGTGCTGGGATTATAGACATGTGCTACCATGCTCAGTTTCAAACTGTCTGTCTGTCTGTCTGTCTGTCTGTCTGTCTCTCTCTCTCTCTCTCTCTCTGAGACAGGGTCCCACTGTGTACTTCAGCCTGGCCTTGAGTTCACTATGAGCTCGGGCTGGTCTCAAACTCCTGTCTCAGCCTCCCGAGTGCTAGGATTATAATCGTGTACTACCACCAGCTAACTGACTTAAATAGCATTTGCAAACCAGGCAGCTAACCATGCAGAAAAAGGGGTTCCCTAGCTACAGCTCCTCTCTCATCCCCTGCGCCCGTCTCTCCCCTCCACACCTACCCTTCCCAGCTCCAAGTAGTGCTGTAGGGACTGGCTGACCACGCGCGTGTTCTCCAGGGTAATGGCAGGCCCTGAGAAGTATTTTTCAACCACTTTCATCTGGAAAGAGAAGGAACACAGTGAGCACACAATACACAATCAGGAAGGAATCTGAACAAAACAGCAGCAAGGGCCAATGGCTACTAGACTTACATCATCTTCGGCAAAGACGGAGAAGCTAAAGAAGGCTCCCAAGTATGACAGTCTCTGCAGCTCCCGCCCAGAGCCAGGACTCAAGGGTTTCGGCAACCACAAGGGCAGAGAAGCCACCTGTACAGGACATGGAGGCCGGTCAGGACTGAGCACAAAGGCAGCAGTAGGGGACAGACTGCGCCCCAGCGGCACCACCCATAACACAGGCACAAGTGGGTCAGAATCCTGACGGCATCTTCTCACCTCATGGACAAGAAAAACCTCCAACTCTGACAATTTTGTAAGATTCTCTTTGGTGGAGTAGCAGTGAGCCATTCGTATCCTACCCAAGGGACTTGAGTATAAACTAGGATTTGTTATTCCCCCTCAAAACAAATCAGAAGAAAGCAAACTTTATTGCAGGAAACAATATAGATAATGGTGATTTAAGAGCTGAGAGCTCCTAGGTCAGGACAACTCCAGCTCTGTCCTCATTTCCTCCCTAGAGATCTTCCAGCTGATGGGACTTAGGGAATGGCTCCTGCTTGGTGACATCCTGACAGTGTGTGCATGCATGAGCTGGGCACTTACCAAATTGCACACGGGGTGTGTCTTCCCAAACTTGGTTTCACAGAGTTCACCTAATGCCTGGATATGAGATCAGAAAGAGTCACTCATATGCACTGCATCTCAAACCGCGGCAAAGAACAGCTTTAACTGCTGCCACACGTACCTGGGCCTTCTCTCAACAATGGTAACAACTTTATTTTTTGCTAATTTTAAACTACTAATACACATGCAATTGTAAACATCACTCAAACTTTATCATCAGAAATAACCCCTACGAAGGGCCAGCCGGATAGCTCAGCAGAGTAAAACGCCTGCTTAGGCGTTCGTTCACAGAGACCAGGGCTGGATCCCCAGCATGTCATGCTGGTGCCACTCCTAGGGCTTGCTGAGACTGTGGCTGAGAATGCGCATGGTGGTGTGAGCCTGTAAACCAGCGCTTGTGAGGCTGCACACAGGAGGCTCACTAGGAGTCTGATATGTATAGTGAGACCCTGTACTAAATACATAAAATAACCCACTGTTTGATCCTGTACTAAATACACAAAAAATAACCCCTACTGATGTTTTGATTAACAGCTTTTCAGACATATTTTTGCATATATATGAAGATTTAAAGGTGTATACTTATACAAAAGGCAAGTTTTCACTTTGTATCTTTCCAAGACAAAAGATCTGTTACATGAACTTTCGGCAACAGCTCATCCTGGCAGCGTTAGCAATGCCTACACTCAGCACTTAGCAAGCTATCAAATTTAGGACTTAGATCAAAAGCACGACTTTCCTTTGGCACACCAATCATTCCTACCTTAGAGGATTATGATAAACAGTTTTTAGGGATGTAGGATGTAGACAATTTTGCGTTGCCATGGTAATTCAACAAAATAACACTGAATATGAATTTTCCATGATGCAGGCACAGCATCACTGAAGCTGCTGAGCACCGAGGCAAGCTTTTGGGTTGGTGCACTTAGGCTCTGAGAGCCTCAGACACACAGGGAACCGAGTCCAAGTCCTCACAGGCTTTTCTGCACATGAGGGTTAGAGGGGAAGCCTTTAAAATCCTGAGTTCAATCCCTGGTTCCGCAAAAAAAAAAAAAAAAAAAAAAAAAATCCCAATCCCAGCGGACATGGTGGTGCACACCAATTATCCTAGCACTCAGGAAGCTGAGACAGGAGGATCAATGTGAGATCAGGGCCACACTGCCTACACAGTAAGTTCAAGGCCAGCCTGATTTTATAGAGGCAGACCTAGTGAAAAAAAGAAAAAACCAAAAGAATTCCACTCCAGTGCGATACCATCTCCTACTTAGTCACAGTGCCTGAAGGCGGAGCTGGCTCCCCAGTGACCCCGGTGCACCAGTGCACAGAACACAGTGGGGTCCGCCAACCTAGACAGCAAGGCCGGCCACCTCTGCACGCGGCTCCTGCTGCCTTCCTCTTCCGGCCTCTCCTTGTGCTTCTTTGCCCATCCCCCATTACTGCACAAGAATCAATAAAGCCCCAACCACAATTGCTGGCTACCAGAATAAGGGCGTTGCCTCGTACCAAGGACACGCTGTTGATATCTGACACTGAAAGTGCCTCACTGAGACAAGGCACTAATTCAAAGCACGGCCAAAGAGCCCGCAGCTCCAGAGAGGATGTTTACTTAGTGCAGATGACTAGCGTTAACTGAACTATCGCCTGACTGAGCTCTCAGCAGTCAGATCGTGCTACCTCCTGCGCTGTCTGCCATGGGCAGAGCAATACATAAGGATTAATATGTTTCATTAGGAATCTGAATAACATGCACAGTACAAAGAAGCCTGCCGCATAAATCCATTCCAAATTACTTTCTACAAGAATCCCTGCCTCAGGACAGGCCAAACAGTTCAGTGGATTAAAGCACCCAGGCGCAGGGGCCGGGGGTTTGATCCCGGGCGTGCCGTGCCAGCCCCGCCCCTGGGGCACACCAAGACGGCAATTGAGGCTGGGCAAGGTGATGTGCACCTGAAATCCCAGCTCTTGGAAGGCTGTAAACAGGCAGATCACTAGGAGTCCAATCTAGTAGTGAGACCCTGAACACCCTGTAGACCCTGCCCTAAAATACAAAAATAAAAAATACAAAGAAGAATTCCTGTTTCATCTTCTAACTTCCCATTTATAACATGACCTTTTAGCCTGCTGGTATTATGTTAGTTCTGATGCTTTCAAATCAGACAAATGTCAGCTGGGTGTGGTGACAACAGAGCTGTGATCCCAACACTCAGGAAGTTGAGGCAGGAGGACCCCTGAAAACGTGAGCCCAGCCTGAACTGAATAGTAAGACCCTGTCTCTAAAAAACACCCCCACAAAGAAAGGACAAAAGTCCCTGTGTGTCTGTGCACCTCTGTGTCAGCATGTGTCACAGTACAATCATCCCACTGCTGTGCGGTGGATGCTGAGGACCCGTGTTCCAGCACCAGGCACAAGACAGATCCTCAGTGGGCCCTGGGTGCACGGTGCAATGCAGTCACGTCAGGAGACGAGGAAAAAAGAGCAGATACAGTAAAATAAAATCAATTCAACCCTGGTGTCAGTTCACCAGGCTGTACCACTGGTCATCCAAGAGACACAAACTAAAACAAAGCTGAGATTCCATCTCACTCCAGAAAGCATGGCTATCATTAGGAAAGCAACAAAAAACAAATGCTGCTGGGACAGCGGGGAAAAAGAACCCTACTGCTGGTTGGAGCATAAATTGGTTCAACCACTATGGAAATCAGTGTGGAGATTCTTCAGAATGCAAACTAGGCTTCCATTTGACACAGCTGTTTCCCATCTAGGTATTTTCTTGAAAAGGGTTAAAAGCATTCTACCACAGAAATATATGCACACCCACATCTACATTAACTTATAATAGCTAAGTCTTGGGAAAAGTCCACATGCCCATCAACACATGAGTGGATAAAGAAAATGTGTTTTTTACACGCAGTGGAGTATTACTCAGCCATAAAGAATGATAAACTTGAATCACCTATATGAAATGGATGCACCTCGAGACAAGTAAAATAAACTGGACCCACAAGTTTAAGTATTGCATTGTTTCTCTTGTGTGAGATACCCAAAGGGTAAATAAGGAGAATAGATTCTGGGAAGTAGGAGGAACGTGTTCAAATGAGAAGGAGACACAGGAATGGGGAAGTAACAGGGAAGGAAGAAGGAAAAAAAGGAAATGGAAGGAAGGGAAAGGAAGGAAAAAATGGAAACAAAGTTTGTGCATGGGGATGGGAAGAGAGATTAAAGGAAGGGGACACAGGAATGGGGAAAAAAGATATATTAATGTACAGATACAAATTCCCTATGATGAATGTGATCGATATGTACAACAAATATGTACTAATTAAAAAATTAAAAATATTTACCAGGTTGTACATAAACATCAAGAAAACCAACTTCATATTTCAACAGTTTTCCTTTTTTAGTTCTAAAATAAAAATATTCAGGGGCTGGTGAGATGGCTCAGTGGTCTAAAGCACCTACTTAGAACAAGCTTAGCAAAGCACAGGGACCGCGGTTCAATCCCCCAGCACCACATGCCAGCCAGCCCCGCCCCCTGGTGGGCTGAGCTGAGCTGGCCACACACACACACACACACACTCTAATAAATAAATGTTTAAAAAAATTAAAAAAAAAAAAATTCAGTAATACTTCCAAACATGTTTACCTACAATTTTATTTTATTTTTCGGAACCAGAACTTGACCTCAGGACCTCGCGCTTACCAGGCAGCAGATACCATGCTGTGGAGCTGTGACCCCAGCCCTTCACCCACAACTGTGAAGAAGAAATTCAGCGCAGAGAAGCTCTCAAGTTTCACCTTGGGTCCTCCAGAGGCGCCCAGGCAGAGGCTCGCCCTGTGATTTCCAACACGTGGCATGCTGAGGGGCTGAGCTCATCTGCTTCCCAAGGAGAGCTCACAGTTGGAGCACACGAATAGGAGAGTTACTCTGAGATTTTCCATGCAAACTTAATAAAGACACACTGCATTACTTTTTTATTTTTATTTTTATTTTTTTTTGGTGGAACTGGGGATTGAACTCAGGCCCTTGTGCTCACCAGAGAAGCACTTATTCCACTGAGCCATCTCCCCAGCCCGCATTACTTTTTTAGTATGCTGCCTTGTTATTTGCATCACTAATCTTTTTTTAAACAAAATTTTATCCCAAATATAGCATGCTCATTGTTCAGAGAAATGGAAGGATGCTGATAATTAATCTTGTTAGCAACACAGCAGGGCAAAGGACATTTCAACAGTGCAGCACTGGTCCTCGGGCCCAGGAGCTGGGAAGGTACCAGGCTGCTAACCTGGCCCCTTGCTGGACGCCAAGCACCCTGTATGGCCAGCACCGCAGACCCAAGGTTTTTTTTTCTTTTGAGACAGGATCTCACTACACAGTTCAGGCTTGAACTCACTATGTAGCCCAGGCTGACCTTAAACTCAGCGATCCTCCTGCCTCAGCCTCCCAACCTCCCTCAGCCTGTAATCCCAGCTGGGGTTACAGACATTACCACCACACCTAGCTGCCCCATGTTTTCAAGTGAAAATAAGGTTGATTCTAGACCTGCAAGAAACATGGAATAGAAATAATTTTAAAGAAAAACATCTATTGACTATGATAAAAAAGAAGGGCTTACCATGAGGGGGTACTTAAAGTAGTCACTGTCGAGGGAGCATTCTTTGGCAGCAAGAGCCAGCCCTTGCAGAATGGGGATAAAGATCTGAAAGACAAAAACCGAAATGACAAACATAAGCTTATGGAAAACAAGGCACAGGCAGCAGGTCAAACGGCACTGCAGCTAAACAGTAGGCAACACCACTCTTCCCTAGAAGAAGAAAGCCGGCTCCCAGGCACCCCAGGGCTGGCCTCCGGCTGGGCTGGCGAGGCCAGCCCTAAGGAGCTGCAGCAGCAAGGACTCTGAGGAACCCCAATGCTCTCTCTGGAGAAACAGAAACCCCAGTCAACTGCGTTCTGCTCGTCCTCCAGCAGCAGGTCTGTCACCTGTAAGGCAAGGGCTAAAATGTTTCAATATTTTGTCAGCTCTGACAGTATCTTTTTAAAAAGTCCTTGTTTATTTTGAGAAAAACAAATGAATCATGGACGTTATTAACATCAAGGGCAAAGGGAGCTGATACTGTTCAAACTGAAAAAGACGACTTGTGCAGGAACGCCTTACCTCGACCCAGAGTGCAACTGCTACCAGAACCGGGCACGGCCACGGCAGCTGAGCACATTCAGATGTACCCTGAGATTTTCCATCAGTCCTGGCGACACCATGCTCAGCTCACCCTCAAGCTTTAGCACGCACTCCCTGAGCACATGACTGGGCACTGCTCTGGATTCAAGGCTACTCGCATGAACTAGAAAATGCTGTGAAGGGCCAGCGCGATAACTTGGGGGGTCTAAAGCACTGTTTAGGCAAGCTTAGGCAAATGCGCAGGGACCACACGCTGTGCCAGCCCCAATCCCAGGGTAGGCTGAGCTGGCCACAGAAAGAAAAGAGAGACAGAGGATAGGAGAGGGAGAGGGAGAGGGGGCGAGAGAGGGAGGGGGAGAGGGAGGGGGAGAGGGAGGGGGAGAGGGGGCGGGGGAGAGAACAGGAGCTGTGAAGAGCAGCTGAGAGTCTGACTACCAACAGGATGGACTGTTCCCATCTCCTCTAATTCACCCCATCCTCCCACAAACCTTCATCACTGAAAGGCTAGAGAACCAATGACCTGCCCTACGTGCTGAATGTGTCTACAGAGTGCCTCTCCAGAAGGCATCAGTCTAGTTTCTGCAACTCAAACTCCCAGGAAAGAAGTAATGTGCTTTCATAAATGAGCTAAAAATGTGGAGGTCACTCAGGCATGGGCATGGGGGGGCACCTGGATGGTAGTCATGAAAAAAAGGCAAACAGAAGGTTTCAGAACCTCAAAAATACATTTCACAATTGGTTCTCAACAAATCTTATTTTTTTAGGAATGATATAAATAAGACATCTGTATTGTTTTTAGCAGAGTAATCCTCTTGTTCAACTAAAGGCTTAGTAATAGACAAAATATGAGTAAGATATAATATTTTCAAACACAAATATACTATTCACATGATCCACATTAAATGATTTTTATTTTCAAACAAATACTTCTTGCCACTGTTCTATAACTATTCACTTCCAATCCTAAACACTTTTCACATTTACCACAATTCTGAGAAAGAAAGGTAAAATGCTGTTTTTCAGTTCAGTAACTACAGTTCACTGTTTCTCTCTACACAAAACCAATGATAAGAGAAAAGATAACAAGGGTTATGACTGACTAGTTGAACCAGGTCACTAGTGGACAGCTGTGACCCCAGCTATTCTGGAGGCCGAGGCCAGGGGAGTTGTAAGTTTGAGTTCAGCCTGGACAACTTGGCAAGATCCTATCTCATAATTAACAAAGGAAGAACTGCTGAGTATGGTGGTGTATCCCTATGAGCCCACCACCAGAGGTTCAGGCAGTACCACCACAAGTTCAAGGCCAGCTATACAGTGAGGCCAAAGCCAACTTGAACTATATACTGAGATGCTGTCTAAAAAAAAAACCAAAAAACAAAAAACCAAGAGTCAAAAAGGTATCTCGGGACCAGGGAGATGGCTTAGTAGGATAAGCACTTCCCTGGCAAGCACAAGGGCCTGAGTTTGATCCCCAGTTCTGCAAAAAAAAAAAAAAAAAAAAAAGGTATCTCACTGGTAGACTGTTTGCCTACTTTCCCTGAAGCCTGGATTCAATCCCCAGTATAAAATCTCCTATACACACATACATACTAATTGACTAGAGAGATACAAGAATTGGTGATGAGGCAGGGCACGGTGGCATACCCCAGCAGTCCCAGCACTTGGGAGGCTGAAGTAGGAAGACTGCCATGAGTATGAGGCCAGCCTGAGCTAGTGAGTTCTTGGCCACCCTGAACTACAAGGTGAGACCTTGTCTCAAAAAAAAAAGCCTGGTGTAGTGGTACATGCCTGCAATCCCAGCACTTGTTAGGCTGAGGCAGGAGGATCACTGTGAGGTCAACGTGGACTACATGGTGATACAAAAGGACAGGAAAGGACAGGACAGGACAGGACAGGACAGGAAAGGAAAGAAAGGAAAGGATAAGCAAGCAAACTCTAGAATTCAGATTGGCCTCAAACTCAGTGATCCTCTTGCCTCAGACCCCTGAGTGCAGGGATTCTAGGCCTGTGCCACCAAGCCCGACTCAATGAATTGTATACACCTTAAAATGGGACTTCAGGATGGGTCAGTAGTAGGGCGTTTGTCTGGCAAGTTCCATTCATGGGTCCTATTCCCAGCACTACCATAAAAGGGAATGAGTGGCCTGGATGCTAACGAATTTCGTCTCAATTACAAAAAAGAAAAGAGCTGACTTCATAAACTCTAGATACATCTGTGAATAAGATAGGAATAACAGGGGCCAGGGAGATGGCTCAGTAGGATAAGCGCTTGACTGGCAAACACAAGGATCTGAGTTCAATCCCTGGTTCTGCCAAAAAAAAAAAAAAAAAAAAAAAAAAAAAAAAAGATAGGAATAACAGGTCCCTTTCAGCTGACATCGGGCTGATTGTATAGTTAAAACTCCACTAGGTTCCACCAGTGAAGGCTTTTGGGTCGGGTGAGCATTCTGGTTGCGGCGCACTCCCTAGAAGGTGCGCCACTTAAACCACAGGCAGGGACCTGCCCTGCACGGAGCTCGCTTCTCTTTGTGAAGAAGAAAACCTCACTGTAATAATGTTCCTGGCACGCGGGTACTGGGCATCCCCAGAGCGCCTGTGCTTAAATCCTGTGTTCTTCTTACACACATACTTTGCACACTGCTTACAAAAACCGAAGACTTCAAAGGCCTTAAGAGTATCTGACATAGAGTAGGGACAGCAAAGGGTAACAGGCCAGTTTCCACAAAAGCCTGTTACTCTTTCTAGCCACAAAAAAGAAATGAGAAAGCAAATTTTCCCAAATTTTATTAAAAAAAAAACCCAACAAACTTTCAAAAAGGAAAATGGTTCAACATACATAAATCAGTAAATGTAATACACCATACTAACATGGCCAAGGCCAAAAAACACGATTATCTCAATGGATGCAGAAAAAGCTTTTGACAAAGCGCAGTATCCATTCATGATTAAAAAAAAAAAAACCCTAATGAAAATGACAATAGATGGTCTTTACATCAACCCAATAAAAGCCATCTGTGGACAAACCAACAGCCAACATCATCTAAGTGGACAAAACTGAAAGCTGTCACTCTAATATCAGAAATGAGAAGATATCCACTTGATCCACTCTTAACTATCGTTATCTGTGGATGACATGATCCTCTACATAGAAGACACCAAAAACTCCACTAACTGCTAGATTTAATAAATTAAGTAGCATAGCTGGATACAAAATCAACACTCATGGGCCGGGGAGATGGCTCAGTGGAATAAGCGCTTCCCTGGCAAGCGCATGGGCCTGAGTTCAATCCCCGGTTCCACCAAAAAAAAAAAAAAAAATCAACACTCAAAAACCAGTAGCTTTCCTAGACACAAACAGCAAACTCAATGAGAAATTAGGGAAACAATATATTTTACAATAGCATCCCCCCCCAAAAAAAGAAATACTTAAAAATCAATTTAATGAAGGATGTGAAAGACCTCTACATTGAAAACTAAAATACTGTGGAAAAAAAGAGATTTAAGAAGATATTACACAATGGAAAGACATCTTCTGCTCTTGGGTAGAAAAAACCAATCTAGTGAAAATGGCCCTACTTTCCAAAACTGTTATATAGAGTTAATGCAGTTCTAATCACAACTCCAACAGCGTATCTCACAGAACTAAGCTACTGTGACAAAAAGTGTGGCATTGGGGAGGGGGGGGGCGCTGAACTGAAGCTCAATGGAAAAGATTAGAAGATGCAGAAACAACAGCAGTCATACCTTATCTTTGACAAAAGTGCTAAACACATTCACAGAAAGATCACCTGTTTAATAAATGGGCCAGGGGGCCTGGCCCTAGCTCAGTTCTTTAAGTGGCTGCTTCCACAAAGCTGGCAGCCTCAGGTTGCTGTAGTTCGATCCCCAGAACACTCCAGCCAACCTAAAGTGCCCTGAAGGCATTCGGAGGAAAAAAAATCCTTATTAAAAAAAAAAGGGCCATTAAAACTGGTTCTGCACATACTGAGGATTAAAATTGGATCCATACCTTTCACCACACACTAAATCTGAAATGGATCCAAAGAAGATCTAAACATTAAAACAAATATTAAATCGCATGGAAGACAGACTAGGCAAAACTCTTGAAGACACTGGTATAAGCAAAGACTTTTTTTTTTTGTGGAACCGGGGATTGAACTCAGGCCCCCTTGCACTTGCCAGGGAAGCACTTATTCCACTGAGCCATCTCCCCAGCCCGTAAGCAAAGACTTTATGAATAAAACTCCAATTCCCAATTAAAAAAAAAACAAACCTGTAATCACACAGAAACTATCACAAAGAATCAACAACTGGGATTTCATCTTATTAAAAAGCTTTGGCAAAAGAAACCACTAACAGAGTGAAGAGACAACCCACAATGTGGGGAAAAAAAGGTTTATTAGCTGTTCCTCAGAAAAAAGATTATTATTGAGAACATTAAAAAAATAATAAATTCAGATCTTCAAAATTTAAAGACCCAATTCAAAAATGGGCATCTGAGGGCTGGGAATGTAGCTGAGCAGCGTAAGCACCTGCCTGCAAGTACAAGGTCTTGTGCTTGACCCCCCAGTACCAAAAAAAGGGGAGAGACCATCTGAGATGAATATACACTTGTCAGATAAAGAAATATAAACAGCAAATAAATACATGAAAAAATATCCAACATCACCAGTCATTTGAGAAGATCATCAAGAAGTCAACTAATAGCAAATGGTGACAAGGCTGTGGGGGAAAAGGAAGCTTTCTGCAATACTCTTGGGAGTGTAGACTGGTGCAGCCACTATAGAAATCAGTGCAAAAAGTCCTCAAAAAAACAGGATTGGAGGTCCCATTTGACCCAGCTATTCTTCGTTTGGTTATCTTCTCGGAAGAATTAAAAACATCCTGCCACAATGATAAATGTGCACCCGTGTTTACAGCAACACAATTTCTAATGGCTAGATCTTGGAAACAACCAAAATGCCCATCAGCCAAGGAATGGGTAAAAGGATGTGGTCTTTTTATACAACGGACAACTTAGCCAAAAAGAAGGATAACTGGAGACTTTTATAGGTAAATAGATGCAACTAAAGACCACACTCATAAGTGAAATAAACCAGACACACGTGTAAACATCATGTTGTCTCCCTAATATGAGAAGCTGAAGGAGTAAAAAAGATCTAAAACGTACACACAATAAATACTGTAAAATGGAAAGAAATTGTTCAAAAGAAGAGAGAAACTGGGAGGGAAGGGAGAAAAGGGAGAGAGAGAGACAGACAGACAGACAGACAGACAGAGACAGACAGAGACACAGAGAGAGAGAGAAACATGATAGTGAAACTAATTTCTCTCAGTTCACTGAAAAAGGTTTGTGCCAATATTGTTTGGACAATTAAATGCTGATATCTTGTATTCTGAGTAATTTAAAGATAACTGACAATGTATTAACCACTGGGGTTCGGAGACTGATGTTTTATTACCATGTATCTTAGATCTGCATTTCCATCTGACTTTGTGAACAAAAGTACCAGAAGAAGGGCACAGAATTAAAGGACCTAAATAGCAAGATATAAAAGGGTTCTCTCAGTATGGTAGTTAGAACACAGGGATCCTATGTGACATGCACACTGCCATTGATCTTACCTAATCCTTAATTTGTTACTCTCCTAAATTCATACAACTGATTAAGCACTATTTGTGTGGTAAATACATGTGCATCTGCCTTACATGCTTTCTTGTCATTGCTATAATAAAAGGTCCTTCAAAATGAGTGTACTATTTCATATATTTTCTTCTTCCCAAAGCAGCTAGCACCATGCAGATACAGTGGCAGAGGCACGTAATCCTTGTCCTTGGGAGGCTGAGGGAGGAGGACTGACAAGAGTTTAAGGCCAGCCTAGGCTTCACAGTAAGTTCAAGGCCAACCTGCAGTACATATACATATATATTGCCTCTAAAAAAACAAAAACAAAAATGTAAAATGCCAACGCAACACACAAACCCTGTTTAAAAGACTCCACACATGACCGATAGTTGGGACAGATGCATGCACTGAACAATGTGATTGTCGATCCAATTTCCTCCAGCACAGAACCTCCTGCAGGTCTTTTTGCTAAGCAAACTGAACACGCAAATCCTGTGCGGGAATGGAAGTTCCACAGAGGCTCCGCGCTGAAGCACGGCTCCAAAGCCCACCTGCTTAAAGACGTCTTCATCCTGGTGCGTCGTCCTCACCAGCTCCTGGATGAAGCCATAGGGGAGGTTCCTGCACAGCATATAGGGCACGAGGAAGGACGGCTGCTGCGTGGACCTGCGGAGGCACAGAGAGCCAGGCCGGCCCTGGAGTCACTGCCAGGCACAGCATATAGGCCTGGGATACCATGTAGCAACCCAAATGCCCAGGCACAAGACAAACCTGTAATCTCCAAATATTCTGTACGATAGTTTTAGGTAAAGGATAATCTTAAGTGTTGGCTGAGCATTTTTTAGACTTTTAAAATAGGTACTACAGTCAATTTCAAAGATTCCATCTCTCTCTCGTATTTGGTACAGGGTTCTGTTACACAGCTTGGATTCCTACTGATCATCCTGTCTCAGCCTCCCCAGCGCTGGGATTGTAGGTGTACTCCACCACACCCAGTTTCAGTGGCCCAGCATGGCCCACCCAGGGCTCCAGGGCCAGCACAGCAGGGGAATGAACCATGTATCAAACTCGGATCCTTGCACTTGCCAGGCAGGCACTTGGACTGCCAAGCTATCTACCCAGTCTGTCGACCTATATTCTTTATTACTAAGTAACAGAAACTGTGTGTTGTTACATGGAATGTGAGGGTCTATATATTTTATCAAATCCCTCCACCAATTTGAAATAGCTGGTTTTATGCTAAATTTTTAATTTTCTGCATATAATCTACTTCAAAAAGCATACAGACATCTTCTTTTTTTTTTTTTTTTTT